AACAACTTATTTGTTTATCATAATAAAGGCTTTTATAGGTTATGTATTTAGGGCCAAACGAGCTTTTGGGTAGCAGTGATTATTACTGGATTGTTAAGTGTATTTTGAGGTCCTTCAATTGTAATGCAAAACTGGAGTGGATTTGGCGTAATCAGAGCTACTTTGAAGCTTTTTTTGTTTCACATTTTTTATTATCTTGGGGCTTAGTGCGAGTTTTAAGACACTCAATTTTTGCATAACGCAGGAAGTACTTCTAGTGTATACTGTCATGGGGATTATGATAAAATTTATCTTGGGCCTGAATAATGAAGTAATATTTTTTCTTTACACCAAAATGTTTCTTGAAGCGGATCCTATAATGAGGCCGATACACATGTTCCTAAATGATTTTTTTTGGCTCATGCTATTCTTCGCGCAATAAGGTGCTGAGTGTAATTGCGTTATTGTTAAGTATTGTTCTTTTTTGCTATTTTAATTCTTACTAGCTCAATTTGAATTTAACTTGAAAAAGAGATTGGACTTTATGTATGAGAACTCACTTCTTTCACCAGGTTTTGAGTTCCAACAATGTCTACTGCAATAACATGGATTTGAGTTCAAGTTTTTTACATTGCATGCGAGACCCGTGTACTGTCTTCGAGTATTTATATATTCGAATATTTTGAAATCAAAATTATTAAATAGTTTAATTTTCAAAATATTCAAGAAAGGATAAACTTAATCAATCAAATTTCAATGTTTCGTAATTAAATTTAACTAATACGACTCGTTTAATGTACAACTTACGTTATGTCGTTTCTGAATCTAATGTCTATGAACTAATTCCTATGAGTATCGACTGTCTATTGCTTCTAGAGCAATAAATATTGACAATTTTTGATGATATGTGTGAAAGCCTCTTCTAAGGAAGATGAAGCATTAATAATAGTAATCCAGAAAATATTCAGAATACGGTTGCAAAATGTTCTGTTTAAGCATTATTTCAAACAAAATGATGAAACACAAAAAGCCATGATTATGTGAGATACATGGTAGTGATTTCAAACAAGAAAATTAAGCAGTGAGAATGAGACTGAAAATAGATTAATCTCTCTTATATTTAAATAAACGACTTCCTAAAAGAAGCCTTTT